ACATACATACATACATACATGACATATAAATCATGTAAACATACATATATATATATATACACACATAAACATTCAAAACCTCGGTGCCGACGCTCTACATGCCAGGCCCGGTTCCGACCCGCAATACGTCATTGGTGGACCAACAATTTAAACTGCGCGCATATGTGTAAAGGACAGTAGAGTCCACACTAGTAAAATACGAGAAGGGCCCTTGCCAGGGACAGCACTCACGGGCCCACGGGCCCGAAATCACAAGTAAAGCCGGGTTGTTGCAATGAGGCTCGTGTCGGGAACGGTGTGGGCCGCCGCGGCGGCACTGAGAGCCAAAGGCAAACGATTCCGTTTCTGTGTGAGCTCAAACTTGGTGTTGGGGTGGCCTTATTCTCCCACATCGTCCCACATCCCTGCATTTGCCGTTGGAAGTGTGCTTGGCTCTTGCGGTCGCCCCCGAGGGTGCACGTGGGCCACGATGGTGGCAGCTATGGAACACGACTGTATTGGGATATTCGACGTGCAGGTGCGGCAGTCGTCGTACCGTTGGTGCTCCCGCTATACAGTTACTGATCTATCTCCTCTGGGTTGTAGCGTTGGTGCTGCCCACCCTCATGCCCGCGTTCGCGGGTCGCAGCATTGGTGCCCGTGTGGGCCCCGTTCGACGACAACCGACACTGTCCCAGCCACGATACCAGAGTCCTGTGTTAGCAGTGTGCTTTGCATCTTGCCAAGACAGCTGGCGGCTCCCCAGGGTGCACCTGGGCCACGATGATCGCAGCTGGTGGACATCACCATACCCACTACAAAGATGCGAGCATTCTACCAAGAGATTACTTTACATTTCTGGTTTTTGCGTTTGCTTCTGCTTCATAACGTCTTCGGAGCCCTCCGCACGGTTACCCCCTTCAGGAGCGGAGACAACACGAGTGCCCGTTCCCTTGCCGGGGATGACCTTCTTCCATGGGGCATGGGGGACTGTTCAGATGCCCCCCCACATAGGCCCCCTATGTGTTATGGGGCTTTACGGAGATCGTGAAAGCATGGCACACGGTTCACATCAATAATCACATTTGCATATGTGTAGAGTAGCACGAAGTTTGATGTTCTCTGGTGCTTGGTGGACACCTGCGCGAGTTTTTGTTTCCGCCCCGCGATGGCTCCCGAACATCACTGCACTACTAGCAACGTAAAGAGAGCGAAGACACACGGCATGTTGCAGCAACTTCAAACTCTTCCTTGGCTTGTCGCACGGATATCGTGATCACAACAATGTGAGCCCGTCTCCTATTAAATTACACTAGTCCAGGCATGCCCCCAAACTGCAGCTTCTGTGTCACGAAGTAGCAAACGCAACTACATGTACATGCTGGGGCCCCGGCCAAACTTGCAACACCACGGCTGAACACAACATGACAGCATGAGGGAAGGGATGATCTCTTTGCTTTGCTTTGCTTCGGGGTTGGGACGCTGGCAGACCCAGCGCCCCGCGCTCAAGGCGCTTCCCCATCCAACATGTTGTCAGATGGAGAGTCTGTACGTTGAAGACTTGGTGAGAAGGAAAAGTCGGGTTTGTGTGCCTCCGTGGGGGCAGGGTTTCCAAGAAGGGATGATCTCTCTCTCGCTCTCTCTCTTGCTCGGCCTCTATAGGGAGAGTAAGCCTTGACTCCCACCTTTGCGTCAGGCGCAAAGCCACATGTGTGGGGGTTTGACTGTGACACGAGATCAGAGGGGAAAGGTTTTCACAGACAATGCAACTCACTCTCTCTCTCTCTCTCTCTCACTCAACGAAAAATCACCTGGACATGAAGAGAAAGAAGCACAATAACCTATAATCCTCACATCGGCTGAACCGGGCTTCAACGAAACACAATCTGGACACCAGCGCGCAACGTCCCTTCCAAAACACATCCTTCAACATACCTAGACCCTGATACCCTCAAACACGCCACGCGGTCTCAACCCGGCGGTGCAGAACCTCTGCCAGCCTGCAGCATAACACTTCTCGCGGGTGCAAACTCAGAGGGCCAGCAAAACAGCGGACTGCAGCCTGCGCCTGTCAAATTCAAGCGGCTCAACCAAGTCAATGGTATCCTCGAAAGTGCAGCAGAAGCACAGCTCGGGAGCCCTCTTTGCCTGCAACACTCCCTGTCAATCAGACCGCCAAGGGACAAGAAAGGGTCTGAGATGCTTGCGCTAATGAGAGGCTGCTTGACGTGCTCATCTAACAAATGCTCCTCGGCACGGCATAGGTTTGGGGACTCTGTATATCCAAGTACAGCCATGCCCTTGGCTCGAACAGCGCTCCCTTCTTGGTTGCATCCCTCCATCCCTCCATCCATCCCTCCATCCGTGCCTGCCTGCGTGCCTGCATGCCCACATACATACAGACAGACAGCCAGGCAGACCTGGGTACATACATACATGCATACATGCATGCATACAATGTACAAGTATAGATACCATTTTCGCTGCTTGCGACTAATCACCGTCGTCCCCCAGCCATGCACCTGCCAAGGCCTAAGGCCGTCCGACCAAGTTATCGGCTTCCTTGTGACCGTCAGACCGGGTCTCGACATCGATGCCCATCTCTCCGGGCCCCTCCAGCCCGGCTCGTGTCACCATTTCGAGGCGTGCAAAGAAATGTGTTGAACCTCTTGCAGCTCCTATCCTACCCCCCGCTCCCATCAAGTGCGCAAGTCCTCGGGCGATATCGTGTGACAACATGCCTCATCCGAGCCAAGACTGCATATCTGCTGCCCACCGATCTGTCCTGGCCCATGGAAGGTGAAGAGTTCACCTCGATGAGCCACACCTGCTGCTCACTGCGAGTAGGCAAGATGCTATGATCGGTATTAACTTTTGAGCATTTCTTCCAGACCTGTAGGGTTCAATGATGTTGTGGCTCAGGGAGCGCGAGGCGGATGGTGCCCGGGCTTCACAAATTTGTGTTTCCATATCAGACAAAACGACTCGACTCGATGAGGCATGGAAACTCTTGGACACCTTCATTTTCGAGTCCATCAGCAGGTCATAGCCGAAAAGCTCGAACGAGTTCACCTGCTTCAAGGATCCTTTGAGCAACCTTCACCACGCTGTTGCCACGCCTGGTTCGGAATGAAATCCTCCGCCATGCACAAGGACTTCAGAATTACCTCGACCATCTTCGCCCACACCGTAGCCTCAGGAGCGAAACGACGCTGTCTTTACCGCCACCCACAACCCATCATGCTCAGCACGGCACCCAATCGACTCCCATTGCTTCGAGCCGCTCTCGAAGCATTGGAAACCTAAGTTGTCAAGTTGCTCCGCGTAAGACTCCAGAAACAACTGCAACTCGGCTGGCGGGTCTTCCTTACCGAACCCCCTGCTTCGCCCTCCAAGGCAAGTCTTGCCATCTGCGGACATGTACAACACGCTGTGGACTGAAGCTGGGAAACAGCTACAAAGCTGTCTCGCCCTGTGGTAATTATGTATTGCTGCAAAAAGCGTAGCAGCAACATCATGATCTACAGCTGATTGAGGACATGACGAAATCTTCGTTCCTCCAAGTATTGCCTCTTCTCGTCGAGTCATGTCCTTGTGGCTGCGACTTGACTTGATGCCAGACCCAGACAGTGCCATGGGTGTCAGCGTCTGGGTTCCATGACAACAAGATTCACAGTTGATCTCTCTCGAGGCTCGAGCTCTGCTGTTGTCATCACTCTGCATGAACTGATCTTCGTTGTGCCTGGAAACTGTCAGGACGTCGATGTCAGTACTTCGAAAGAGAAGCTGTCCCGAAAAGGTGTCCTTTGTATAGACGAATTCGTCAAATGCACGAACCTCGGGTGTTCAAAAATGAACTGGTCGTGTCTGCGTGAGTTTACCAAATTAGGTCGCCACTTGTTGTCAATGTCATCGGAACTGGTGTTGTACGGCACCGTTGTGAATCGAGCGAAGCCATCTTTGTAAACAAACGCCTCAGACATTGACTGTATCATGCGAAGACCGTTGCTCACGCACAACTCACAGCAGACCCTTCTGGAACTACCCCAAGCCAGCGTCACGTCGATCTGGCCTCCAAGGGGTTGAAAGACGTCACAGTCACATATGTGCGCATGTCCTTGGCGATGAGCAGCGGCACAATCCAAGGATTGGAGAGCTTGCAGGCTTACGAGATTTAAACGGTTGCTGAAGCCCCGAGCACGATGCTCCTATGCGCACAGAACGCTGCAAGGAGCACACAATAGCTCATCAATTCACTGCATTCACGCACGTGTCGGTGCACACAGGCAGGGCCGCGGGAACATGCAAGCCGGACGTGGCCGCTGCAGCAACGGCGAAGACTTCCTTACTGAGGGAATGCGGCGAAAGTCGACCTGCTTGTCCTTCAGGACATGCGATGGTCGAACATGAAGCCAAGACTTGAGAGCCACGGGCTGGGACGAAAGCTCCATAATGGACAGGGCTGGTGACACCGAACTGCGACAGGCAGGTGAAACCCAATGAGATAAGTTCATGTCGCGAACTGCCAGGAAAATGCAGGCTCTGCATCGCGTGAGATGAGAAGAGCAGCAGCACTGGACATGACGGTTGTAAACGCCATTAATGGGTTTCTTTGCCCTGTGCGGCTTCTAGCAAAAGCCTCTCCCGGAGGGAGGGCCAGCCAAGCACGCCACTTTCAAGCAAGGCAGAAACAGGGTGAAATGTCGCTGCCGAACCCAAATTAGCCTAAAAATCCAAAAAACAACATCCTAGACAATCCAATGCACGAATGCCCATAAAAGGAAATGCATTGACAAGAATGCACAGGTCAGCGCTGCCCAAGATGCGAAAAACACCTGGACAAACAGGTTGAAGCGAATATCGGCCTCATCGGAGGCAATCAAAAGAGACCCTGCAGCCAGCATCAGCAGCATCAGAAGCGACCCGTTTCTCCGACCGAAACGTTGCCAAAAGGGCCAACACAAGACTCGAAACCTACACCAGAAGCAATGCAGTCCCGGCCGACTGTTAGCGGTGGGTCAGCCAGGCTCCATGCCCTGGGGAAGCATAGCACCTAGCTGTTAGCCGGTCATCGGCACAGGGCAGTAGCTTGCCCTCTACTTCATGCCCCATGTTCACCGCCCCAATCTCAATGCGGAATGTTCAGAATCTGAACACGAAGGGCGCACTCTGTTGCTGCGTGCGCTTTCAATCTGCTCGAGGATTCTAAAAGTCTGACGCAGGTCCACGATGAGAGAAGCCGTGTTGGGGCTAGCCTGCCCAAGTTGGTGCTGTCCGGCCATCAACGTCGTGGAGGACAAATTCTCACAGAGACTCACACAGTCGGAAGACATCAAAGCGAGTTCTGGCCTGCAGAGGGTGCAACCAGTAGGCTCTCGGCGTAGCCGCGCTTGTTAATGAACTGCTTGCGAAATCTTGCGAATATGACTTTGCAAAGACTGCCAGTGAAACAGGCAAACCAAAGAAATCAAACGATCAAACAGAGAGATAGCAGCGCCTTGGAGCAAGTGAAGATATTGACATTGTCAGCGGCGGAGCCGGCAAGTCGGGCACTCGCCGTACACAGCAGGGGCTCAGAGCGCCGTGGAAGTGCTCGGATGGTTTGGGCTTCGCATTTCCATGTCTGTGCATCATCACCCTGACGAAAAGCGACAAGAGCGATCAAAAACGAATGCTCAGAATCCAGCGGCCAAAGATCTGAAAACAAAAGTGACTGTGTGCAACATGCGCCCCGTGCGCAATTAGGAACGGGTCAGAGTCCAGTTCAGCGTCCACCCCGACATGGAATCTATCGCGACGATCATCAAAGCTGGCACGCAAAGTCGTGGCGTGGCTAACAAAGGACCATGTGGATGCAAAGTGGCCAAGCTTCTCGAGGGCATGGACATGCGGATCAAAACGCAGGATGCAGGGCGTGAGCCGCGAGTGGCAAAAGGGAACCTCTCACAGTAGACATAGCTGACGGAGGTTGCGCTCTGCCATCGCTCGTTCCATCGAGGGATGAGGGGGTGGCACTGCCCACCCAGCGACCATTGTGTTGTGAAGAGGGTGCGAGGTGTCCGTAGCCGGTGCTTGCACGCAGCTAGTTTATTATATGTTGACTCGGAAATTCCATGGCCACGAGAGAGAGGGAAAGACATCGCCCCACGTCCGTGATATTCTTTCAGGCATTTCTGCTATTTCTGCTCGGTGCTTTGTGAACCTGACTTATTTCGTCAACTTCGACACTTTCAGGCCTATGCGAGAATTCAGGCTCATGAGGTGTCAAGCCGAGCAACGACTTGGCTCACCACAATTTGCTGCAGTCTGGTTGCGTACACTCGGTTAAGCTACGAAAATACATCGAAAGCAGATTAACACGTGCAGTCAGTGCACTAGCTGACGCTTCCGAAGTCTCCGTGGAATCAGCGATGGCTTCGATTACTAAATCCAGGCTATTCCAGTATCCCTCGTCCTTCGCACAAAATGGGGTGACTGTAGACGAAAAACTAAAAGTCGCGCTCAGCTCCGCTCCCACTTGAAATCGCCCAAGAGGAACGGATCACTGATGTATTGCCTCAGGAAGACATGGGATCACATTTGCGCAGTCGCTGGGACTTTCACCAACCAGCTCTTGCCCGGCACGTGGCTGGATAATTGTAAGCTCACCGTAGTGGACAGCACCCACGTCGTTGATAACCTGCATGATGAACAAGACTGCACATGGCTTTAGAGCGTGGCGTCTGGAAGCACGTGCTCATACGTGCTTGGATCTTCCCCGATCTTGATCTTGATGGCGGAGAAGTATGCGGACACTCGCAGCGGAGCGCTCCAGCCTGAATTCCTCTGCCGCGACTGCTGCCGGCAGGTTTCATGATCCACATATTCGGGACCTTGCCAAGAACTGATCTCAGCAGACTTGCTTTAGCAAGCACGAGGCCTGCCTTGAGTCCACGCGGAGGGCTACCTCAGCTCGTCGACGTGTAAGTACTACATACCATTGTAATGCCGTACTTCGACTGTTTCGGCAGATCACGCCACACCGGTGCGTGGATACCGGGCATGATGTTGCTTTGAGGAGCTTTCGTGCACATTCCAGCGTCGGATCTTGGCTACGACTGGTGGAACAAACATACAACACAAGGGGACATGCAATGGATAGATCCAGAACATGGACTTCCAAAGTCACGTGCTTGCTAGCGCATGGATTAGTGTCGTGCGTTTCTGCTGTTTTCGGGGTTTGCTCTTCCGGTCTTTGGGAGGGAGTGGGGGGGGTTGATAACTTCCAGTTTGCATACATCGCACGGTACAGGTTACGAATTCCTCGGTATTTACAGGCTCTGGCGAGTATTAAGCTTGAAAGTAGTGGTTCTACACGGGGGCGGAATTTTATGTGGTTCCCCCTAAGACTCTCCACACAACAGTAACTAGATAGTCTTCCAG